AAACTTGCCAGGGTCATCCAGCAAGCAAGGACCAAATCTGGGATTCAAATACAGGCCCTGAAGCCTGCAGAGCAGAGCAGGAGCTGCCACTGACTCAAAGACAGGAGGGTGGAAAAAGAACTCCTGCAATGAAGCAGGTTCGGTCCCGACAAGGGGCCCCGGGCCTCAGAGCGGGACTTGCCCAGCGAAGACAGGGTGCCGGGAGCACGATACCTCCCTCATCCAGCCCGCAACTTTCCATCACTACCAGAGAGCTGTTTGAAATACTACAGCTCCAATCCCCATGACTCTCTTAAAATTCCTCCACCATCCCTGAGGCCTCCCAGTCCCCGTGTGGGAAATTCTGCTTTAGAGGGATGTTATGAATAATAAGGAACAAGTGATTATTAATCTTTTGGCAGACATACACTCCTATAGAAATGTTAACCGTATGTTCCCATTTAACTTCATTTATAGCACTTGGGCGACACTAAGACATTTGCCTCTTCTTTAGGGCTTACACTAGTCAGAATTTGCAAAGAAATCATTAGGCACTTCTTCTGTAAGACAGCGTCTACATCTTCATGCCATCTGATCTGGAGGGTTTGGTTTGGTTTTTTCTTTGAATAATACCCTGTAGTGGACTGGGTCTATTAAAAATAATCTCTTAATTATGTGACTTACTCCAATCAAAAAACTTCATCAATTCACCATTTCTCTGAGACCATTTACAGGTTATTAAAAAATCTGAGTTCCATATAGTTGTCCTTCAGCTTGGATGTTAAGCTTGACATGATTCCTTTCCACGTGTTTTCATTTTCTTCTGCAACAGCTGCCCCCTGAAATAGTGCGTTTATCTCCCAAATTCAATTATCCATATTAATGGGGGCCTGCTATCTGCATAAGTGATATCCATCAGTGTTCCAAGAAAGTTTAACCTTAATAACTTTATCACAATCAATAGTTCCAAATTCATCAAAGAGGGTTTCACTGGAGTTGCCAAAAAGGAATGCAATGTAACTGCTCTGAGAGCCTTCACCCTGTTCTCATCCCGTTTCCAAGGAAGATGCAAAGAACAGAGAGGCACAAGAAAGGTGCACAGCCAGACTCAGGCAGGAAGCGGGATGAGGTCTCTGTCTACAAGCTGGATAATCTCCATTTCCCTGAGCTCGAGTCTGTTCCTCTCTGTGCTTCCTTCTGTTTTTTCTCTCTCCTCACTGGAGCGCCAATGAATACCTTTCCCTGCTCCGGAATGCCGTTAAGTTCTCATTGCTCTCCCTTTCCAGGTCTTTGCGGAGGCCACAATGAGACCGGTCTTATCCATGGTTCCGTGTCCTCCTCCGGGATACAGTCCCCAAAGGCCCTCTCCACTCAGTGCTCAAGTTCCACTCACTAGGCAGGTCATACCCCCAGCCCCATAAAATGTTTCTGGGGTTTGGGGCTCTGAAATACCTCATCCAAATCTTCTGCATCTTTAATAAATGAAGTTAGTACCAAGATGTCTTAAAGCGATCAAGTTTTCATTTACACCCTTTAAATATCTGTAGACAGTTATCGTAGCCCTCTGTCAAGCACCACAATGACCCGTTTCTGCCCTCTCTCAGAAATGCAAAGGAGCAGTATTCACGCTGTTTCAAAAATCTTCGGCAGCAAGGAAGTCTGACTCCGTTGTTCTCAGAAATAGAAAGTAAATTCGTCTCTATCCTGTAAATGGAGAAGTTTTTACGCAGTTCTCTGAAGGAATTCACAGTGCAGCACACGAACAACAGGGATATGGTCATGCGTTTCCTTGCTTAACAGAGAAAAGAAAACACCAGGGATGTTGTCCAATGACAGCCATGCAATCACATTTTATTGAACAGGCTTTATACTTGGAAGATGCCGTCTCTTCCTTGTGTCTCTAAACTGCTTTTTTCTGCACTTTAGCTTTTTGCTCTTATCTCCTGGTAAAATGCATGAATCTACACCTTGGAGCAAACCTTAAACAGATTCCACTTTAAATTTTTCAAGGACTGTGACTTTAGTAGTTATTCCTCTGTGTGTATGCGTGTGTGTGTGTGTGTGTGTGTGTGTGAGAGAGAGAGAGAGAGAGAGAGAGAGAGAGAGGGAGAGCCAAATTAGTGAGTGACTAAAAAAGAGAATAAATGAATAAAAATTGCAAAATGGATCAAACAGGAGCAAATATGAGATAGTTTAATTTAAAAAGAAGAAAGGAAGTCTAGTTACATTTCAAAATTCACTGTTGTGTGTGCCATGACTAAAACACTCGGTCCCATAAAATTGTGCTGACTGAGGGAGGCACACGGTGAGGTGCAGGCTGTGGGGACAGACAGTCCTGAGTTCGCATCCTGGCTCCGACACAGACTGCCTCCCTAAGCTCTGAGCCTCAACTTTCTCTTGTCTGAGGCAGGTCCCCATAGCCATAACAGGCACCTTGTGGGACTCACTATGGAATGATGCCATACAGTGCTTGCCATTGTGCCTGGCACAAAGTGCTGAATTTTCTCTGGATGGCATTCAGGTGAGTGTCAAAGTGAAGAGATTTTTAATTTTTGCTAACTCTGTGATGTGTGTTCCATAGATGTATTCTTTCATATCTCCTACTTCTTATCTTCTGTTTTTTAAGTCCTTACTGTTGAAGTTTACTGAAGCAGTTTCAGGACTCATTTCAGAATTAGGATCCAGCGCTCCACACGCCCCGGAAGTGATAGGGCCATGTGAAGTCACCGTTGGCTGCGTACGGGCTAGTCTTCGGAGGGCAGCTTCCAAGACCCAGGTGGTACAGAGGTCCTGCCTCCCACCCCCCTCTAAGTTCTCTTCCATTGATTGCAGCCCTTACTCGTTTTGGATGAGGCAGCTGCGCTGGAAGCAGGAAATAAAGGCAAGTGCTCAGAGAGTCAAAGAAACATCTCTCCGCATAAATAAGAAGCAAGACATAACTAAGAAGTGGGGAAAAGGCAAAGTGAGCATTTTTTGAATCCTAAAGGGTATTGTTCAAATGACCTCTCTTCTTGAACTTCTAATCTGAAGTGAAAGAAGGTTCTTAAAATTCTTTATACCGATAAAACTTGGAAGTGTTGAAAGAGTCCCAAAAGAGCAGGCATCTTAGACGTGCTCCCGCTTTGTTACCGGTAACTGCAGTCCCTGTCCCACCCTGTTAATCTTGTCAAAGCAAAATGCCCAGCCGGGATTCACGGATACTGCCACATCTGAAGGCTGGAAAAAGGAGCCAGGCATGAGTTTGCTGTGGGTAGAAAAGGAGGAAGAAGCAAAGCTACTTGGCTGAGAGATCTGGGGACTCAGGGCTTATTGTGATCAAGAAAATAATGAGTCTCCAAATTAACAGCTGCTGGCCAGGAAGACCCTAACGTAAAATGCTGTATTTACTTAAGGTTCAGTCATCTTCCCTGAGATTGTGAATATCTGCACAGGATGGGCTGCTTGGCATGGCTGGGAGCCCTGGAGCTGCCACCAAGCAGTGGGCACTGGGTCCACGGATTGGGAAATCACCCCGTGCTGGGTCCCACATCAGCTTTACAGAATCTGTCACATTTGACCCTCACAGAACACAGGAGTCAGGTGCAGTGGCTGTCATCCCATTTTATGAAACGGGAAACTGAACTCGGGGATATTAAGTAACCTGATCAGGGTCATGCAGGGTTGGGATTCACATTTCAGCATGGGGACTCTGGAGTCACGCTCCTAGCCACTGTACTATCGAGCCTCCTGCAGGTGGACCTCGGCAACCCTCGGAAAGAGGGCACAGGGATGTGTTGAGAGTGAGCTTGGGTAATAGTTACCTGTGTCCTGTCCTGGGCCCAAGATATACCAAGGTTGGGGAGAGTGCATGTCCTGCTTCAGCATGGCAGCTACAGATGTGGATATTCCAGTAGGTTCCTGGGGAGAGGGAGAGAGATTTGGAGACAGGGGGAATACGGACCGGTAAGGTGTGTATAGCACAGACACCCACCTACCCCAACAGGGATGGCCCTGCCTATCCCTACACAGCTCTTTCCTCTTTACCAAGCTCACCTCTTCCCAATTTCATGGTTAAACATTCTTACCTCCCCCGTTTCCCTCCCCACTCACCTCATCCCCCAAATCCTGACTCCTCGTTAGAGCGTCTTCTTTCCTGGTGCCTGTACACCCAGATTTCCAGTTGCAACTTGATCTTACTTTCTCCTTGTTCTGTGAAAGCTGCTGATACAGGGGCTCGCTATTATCATATCCTTATGCCCTAAATCCTGGCTTCAAGTCCAGATTTTCTTCAGATAGGACCAAAATTAAATGACAATAGAAAAAAAAAAAACTTAATGCTAAATAAAAGCAGCATCCTTTTTCTTAAAATTTCATGAACTTTAGTGTCAGTCTGACTCCTGAAACTTAAATGCAACTCATATTTTCTGTGGTTGGTATTGTGGTCCTTATGGTCGCTTTACATTTCTATCTCTTCCAACTGGGTTTTTGCAACTTGGACATCAAGATTATTGCATAGCAGCATTAACAGCTAATAAATCGGGCTCCTCCTTGCCATTTTTCTGAGCGGGGTTGATGGAGCCAAGGCCCTACAGAATAGGGGGGAGCCTTATTCTGATGCTCATCCTCTACTTGGGTTCTAAGGTCAGGATTCCATGCAAGAGCCATGTTGCTCCTGATGAGGAATGCAGGCTGAGATTTGCCATGGTATAGGTCTATAATCATTTTCTGAAATCTCTGAACCAATATGATTTAGAATTGTGCAGATTTCAGATAAGAAATATGCCTATACTGCATATTAGATAACATCCCCTGTTGGGGTCTGGAGTAGCATCCCCTAATCAAACATAGTATATTACTGCAGCTCAGTATTTAACTGTAAGTATACAACATAAATAGTCTACTATCAATTCAGTTTAGCTTTAACTATCAAATGAGTTTAGATCCGACCAGTCTTTGCTGTCAATGACTTACCAAAACCCTTTTGGTTTTCAATTTTGCTTTGGATCTGGGATTTTATAGAGAAGCGATTGTGAGCCTGTAAATGCAAATAGCTGCCATTTATTGAACATGCTTATGTTCTGGTGTAATCTCCAAAACAGCCTGCACAGGAAGGCACTGTTCTTTGCTGCATGTCACAGATGATGCGTCCACGTAGAGGGGCTAGGAAGATAACCTGAGGGCACCGAGGTAGGACGAGTTCAAATCTGGTGGAAACCAGTGCAAGACACGAGCTCTTGCCACTCTGATGTCCTCTCCCTAAGAAAACAGTGAGCTTGGCCAGGCACAGTGGCTCACTCCTATAATCCCAGCCCTTTGGGAGGCTGAGGTGAGAGGACCCCTTGAGCCCAGGAGTTTACTACCAGCCCGGGCAACAAAGAGACCCAGTTTCTACAAAACATAAAAAAGTTAAAAATTGCTGACTCTGGTGGCACACGCTTGTAGTATCAGCTACTGGGGAGGCTGAGGTGGGAGGATCACTTAAACTCGGGATTTCGAGGCTGCAGTGAGATATGATCACACCACTTCACTCCAGCCTGGGAGACAGAGTGAGACTGTAGAAAGACAAAAGAAAAGAAAAGAAAAGAAGAGGGGGTGGGGAGGGGAAAGGAGTGGGGGAGGGGGAAGAACGAACTGGCTTGACAGATGGCCCCTCCCTCCAGGTGATGGCTTCCTGTATCTCAGGCCCCAGGCCACCTGGCGCAAGCTGTCTTCCCTTAGCATTAGCTCCAAGGGCTGTCAGGTGGACGTGGATCCCCTGCCATTTAAGCAGGGCCTCTCTAGTTTTATTTTCAAAATCATTTGGTGCCCCAGACATTCTTGAAGCAGTCATTTCCTTCCCTTCTCCTTTATTAATGAGCTTATTTCTTCCTCCTCCCCACTGCCGCTCTGAGGCACTTGTGAAAGGCCTGTTGTTGCCTTTGGCTGACTCCACCTTTCTCCTTCTCCACCCCCACCTTATCTTCTCCCTGCCAGCGGGACTAACCTTTGCGCCTTCCCTCCTGCATTTTCACAGGGGAGCCTTCCACCCCCGGGGTTCTGCGCTCCTGGCCACCTCCTTGTGAGAGGGCCTGGGCCAGGGCTGCAGGGAAGTCACGCTCTGGGTTTTAAATGTTCCAGCTCTGTGTGGAAGAACCGTCTTAAATTGCCTCTCGGATTTCGCCTTTTTGCAGAGGGCAGAGCCGTGTCGCACACCCTTTGTGGGCTGGGGCTGGGGATCTTCTTATTCCAAACCTAGGGCAGGATCTTGTGCCACTTGGCAGCTCCTCGCGGCTTTGTGACTCCTTCAACACAAAAGGAACCTGTGGCTGACTTAGCTTCTGCTCTCCCAGCCCTCCCTAGAGGACCCCCCGCCCCGGTGTTTTCATCTCAGCGGTCAGGAGACTTTGGCCAAGAGGAGAGCTGACCTGGTCTGACCATTGGCTCCCCCTCTGCGTGACCTTCAAGCAAACTTTCGAGCAAACTTTCACTTACCCTCTTTTTTCTTCCTGTCCTCACCTATAACATGGGAGCCGTGGGAATACTCCCATGGAGTCGATCTGCGGAGGAAGTGAATTAGCTGAGCGAATCCCCGACTGCTCATGGTCTCTGCTCCGGACGCAGAGGCCCCCTTTCTTCGGTGCTGCAACGTGAAGTAGTAACTCCACTAAGGCTTACAATGGGGTGCTGCTAGGCTCACAAATGCCAGCGGTTTTTTCGTTTGCTTTGCTTTGTTATAATTTCAATTTTCATTTTAGATACAGAGGGTGCATGTGCAGGTTTGTTATGAGAATACTGGGTGATGCTGAAGTTTGAGGTACAAATGATCCTGTCACCCAAAAGTGAGCATGGTACCCAAGAGTTTTCCAGCCCTTGCCCCCTCTTCCTTTGTCCCCCCTCTAATAGTCCCCAGCATCTTTATTCCCATCTTTAGGTCCATGAGTACCCAATGTTTAGCTCCCATTTATAAGTGAGAACATGCTGTGTTTGGTTCTCTGTTCCCGCGTTAACTTGCTCAGGATAACGGCCTCCTGCTGCCTCCATGTTGCTGCAAAGGACATGATTTTGTCCTTTTTTATGGCTTTGTAGTATTCCATGGCGTATATGCACCACATTTTTTTTCACTTTTAAGTTCAGGTGTACAAGTGCAGGTTTATTATATAGATAATCCTGTGTCACGGGGTTTGCTGTACAGACTATTTCATCACCCAGGTATTAAGCCTAGTACCCGTTAGCTATTTTTCTTCCTCCTCTTCCTCCTTCCACACTCCCCACCTCTGAAAAGTCCCAGTGTGTGTTGTTCCCCTCTATCTGTCATGCGTTCTCATCATTTAGCTCCCACTTATAAGTGAAAACATGCAACATTCCATTTTCTGTTCTTGTGTTAGTTTGCTAGGGACAATGGCCTCCAGCTCCATCCGTGTCCCTGCAAAGGACATGATCTTGTTCTTTTTTGTGGTTGCATATTATTCCATGGTGTATATATACCATATTTTCTATATCCAGTCTATCTCTGATGAACACTTAGGTTGATTGCATGTCTTTGCTATTGTGAATGGTGCTGCAATGAACATGCACGTGCATGTGTCTTTACAATAGAATGATTTGTATTCCTTTGGGTATATACACCCAGTAATGGGATTACTGGGTCAAGTGGTATTTCTGTCTTTAGGTCTTTGAGGAATCACCACACTGTCTTTCACAGTGGCTGAACTAATTTACACTCCCACCAACAGTGTATAGTGTTCTTTTTTCTCCACAACTTTGCCAGCGTCTGTTATTTTTTGACTTTTTAATAGCTATTCTGACTGGTGCGAGATGGTATCTCATTGCAGTTTTGATTTGCATTTCTCTAATGATTAGTGATGTTGAGCTTTTTTCCATATGTTTGTTGGCCATGTGTATGTTTTCTTTTCAGAAATATCTGTTCATGTCCTTTGCCCACTTTTTAATAGGGTTGTTTTTTTATTATACATTTGTTTAAGTTCCTTAAAGATGCTGGATATTAGACCTTTGTTGAATGCATAGTTTGCAAAAATTTTCTCCCATTCTGTAGGTTGTGTGTTTACTCTGTTGATAGTTTCTTTTGCTGTGTGGAAGTGCTTTATTTTAATTAGATCTAATTTCTCAATTTTAGCTTTTGTTGCAATTGCTTTTGGCATCTTCATCATGAAATCTTTGCCCATGCCTATGTCCTGAATGGTATTGCCTAAGTTGTCTTACAGGGTTTTTATAGTTTAGGGTTTTACATTTATGTCTTTAATTCATCTTGAGTTAATTTTTGTATATGGTGTGAGGAAGGGGTCCAGTTTGAATCTTCCGTCTATGGCTAGCCAGTTATCCCAGCACCATTTATTGAATAGGGAATCATTTCCCCATTGCTTATTTGTCAGGTTTGTTGAAGATGAGATCATTTTAGGTGTGCAGTCTTATTTCTGTGTTCTCTATTCTGTTCTATTGGTCTATGTGTCTGTCCTTGTACAAGTACCATGCTGTTTTGGTTACTATATCCCTATAGCATGGTTTGAAGTCAGATAGTGTGATGCCTCTAGCTTTGCTCTGTTTGCTTAGGATTGCCTTGGCTATTCAGACTCTTTTTTTGGTTCCACATGACTTTTAAAATAGTCTTCACTAGTTCTATGAAGAATGTCAATGGTAGTTTAATGGAAATAGTATTGAATGTGTAAATTGCTTTGGGCATTATAGTTATTTTACTGATATAGGATGATTCCTCCTATCCGTGAGCATGGAATGTTTTTCCATTTGTTTGTGTTATCTCTGATTTCTTTGAGCAAAGGTTTGTAGTTCTCCATGTAGAGATTTTTCACCACTCTTGTAGCCATATTCCTAGGTATTTTAATCTTTTTGTGAAAATTGTAAATGAGTGTTCACTTCTGATTTGGCTCTTGGCTTGATCGTTGTTGGTATATAGGAGTGCTAGTATTTTTGTACATGATTTTGTATCCTGAAGCTTTGTTGAAGTTGTTTAATCAGCTTCAGAAACTTTGGGGCTGAGACAACGAGGTTTTCTAGGTACAGAAATATGTCATCTGCAAACAGGGATAGCTTAACTTCCTCTTCCAGTACTATGCTGAATAGGAGTGGTGAGAGAGAGCATTCTTGTCTTGTGCCTGTTTTCAAGGGAGAATGCTTCCAGCTTTTGCCCATTCAGTATGATGTTGGCTGTGAATTTGTTATAGATGGCTCTTATTATTTTTAAGTATGTTTCTTCAACATTTTGTTTATTGAGAGTTTTTAACATGAAGGGATATTGAATTTTATTAAAAACCTTTTCTGCATCTATTGAGATAATTACATGTTTTTTTCTTTAATTCTGTTTATTTGATGATTCACATTTATCGATTTGTATATGTTGAACCAATCTTGCATCCCAGGGATGAAACCAACTTAATTGTGAGAGATAAGCTGTTTGATTGCACCACATTTTCTTTATTCAATCCACCATTGATGGGCACTTAGGTTTATTTCATGTCTTTGCTATTGTGAATAATGCTGTAATGAACGTAGGAGTACATGTGTCTTTTTTGGTAGAACACTTTATTTTCTTTTGAATATATACTCAGTAATGATTTGCTGGGTCAAATGGTAGTTCTGTTTTAAGTTCTTTGAAAAATCTCTAAACTGCTTTCTACAGGGGCTGAACTAAAGTACATTCTCACCAACAGTGTATAAGCGTTCCCTTTTCTCCTCAGCCTCACCGGCATCTGTGGCTTTTTGACTTTTTAGTAATAGCTATTCAGATGGGTGTGAGGTGGCAACTCATGGTGGTTTTGAATTGCACAAATGCTAATGTGGAGATTGTCATCTTCACTAGTTTCCCCACCATCCCTGCTGTTGTGTGGCCATATTCTTCATTTCATAGAATATTGACTGTCATTCATTTCAGACCCGATAGGAGCATCAGACATCCCTTGACTGGCTTTATTGTGTGAATGAGGTAAGAGGATCTCATAAAGTTGTCCAGGGCAGGACTAACCTACAGGCAGGACTGAGAGTGGACCCCAAGGGTGGGGTTTTCAAACAATGCTGTGTTCTGGGGTGGCCAGCCATCTGGGTTTGCTGGAGTCTCTCACAGTTTTAACACTGAAAGTCCCTCTTCTCAGAAAACCCCTTAGTCTGTGGCAAATCAGGACAGTTAGTCACCTTAAGTCTCTGGTATTTGTGAGCTTTGTTGCTTTATTAATGAAAACAGTATTGTTTGTTGTGCTTTTTACACAGTTTTTTTTTTTTTTTTTTTTTTTTTTACAGTAGGGAAGAAACTACCAATGCCAACCTTGCATGTCAGCAATTATTTTAAACCACTGACATCTAAAAATTCATAAAATCAGCATTTTCAATTAGTCACACTGCTTTATTTTTTATACTTTACTTCCATGTCATATCTCATTAGTTTATTCCAAATCTAATGAGTAATCTGTTGCTGGCTGTTCAGAAGGAAATGCACTTTGAAGTTGACCAAGAATGATTTCAACACTGTTACTAAAGAAATTCCACAAAGTTCTAACTAACTTTTGGGAGTAGCTTACAATCCATCAGACTTAATCCTCTATGTTTGAAAATGTCCTCTGGAAAACATTATGAGGCGCTTCTGTTGTAGAGTGCACTGATAGAGTGGAAGTGCTATGCAAAGTAAAACATCAAATGATGCTATTAATGCAAACGTCTTACCGCAGTGGCTGGTTTTGTTTTGTTTTGTTTTTGGTGGAAGAAAGTGGATAAATCTAAAACGTCACTTGGCCTAAAATATGCAGGTACTCAAGAAAAGTGATTATTGTTCCCCTTGATTCAATCTATAATGAATGTTTATTACATGCTTAATAGAGGCTTGTCCGGGCTATTGGCCATTGAAGTAAATTACATTGAAACAGGCAGAAAATGGCTACTATCTTCATGGAGCTCCAATCTAGTGGAAAAGAGAAAATTATATAATGACACAAATAGGGATGGAATTATAATTGTGATAAGTGCTTTGAAGCAGAGTGCTGGGTGTCCTGGGACTCTCTAGTGGGGTACCAAATCTAATCTGAGAAAATGACATTTA